ATTGATTTCTTTAAGTGTGTGCAATTTGAATTGAATTTAAGGGCACTTTCTTGGGCCTTGGCGGGAGTATATGTTCTACTGAGTGCCATTCTACTTTGAGAAGGCTTTCTTTTAGCAAGTAAAATGTAAATGTATGCCTGTGTCTTCCTTTATTACCAGGTTCAGCGAAAGACCAGAAAATGATAACCACCGCATAGAGGAGCAAGATTAAATGAGAAGAGGGTGAAAGAGTTTGAAGAGGGATGAAGAAGAAAAGATGGACAGAGTATTGACCTCAATATTCTTCCTGGCCATCCTCTTGAATGGTGCTGCTCTAAACCTGTCAGAAAATAAAAACACTTCCCCAATCAGCCTTTGTGGCAGCAAGAGAAATTGGCCACATCTTGGCTCCTAACCCCTGAAATGTATCAACCACTCTCAGTCGTCATCCAACAATACATTCTCTTTTAGCAAGAGTGCAGGATGGAGCCTCCATGAAACGGAGCCGGGGACAACCTGTGCAAAGCCCTCACACCGCACTAACTCCTCGAGGCCCCGGCAGGTAGATCATTGAGCAAAAAAGACGGAGAAAATCAGAGTGGGACAGATGGTCTGGAAAGAGCTGATAGCCAGCCAACCTACAGGATTTATTTGATCGAATGAAAAAAAAAAAAAGTTTTAGCGCTTTAATGCCAAAGACCACTTCTGGAAAACGTCCGTCTGTCCTCGACTTAAGTCTGTGGAAAAGCGGAGGAGGAGAGGGATTAAGAGAGCAGAAATAAGATGTGCTCAAGATATCGACAATTCACTTGTAAAATATTTTATTTCCTCTTGTAATTTTACAGTAAAGTGTCAGGCTAACTTGGTACACTTGCATGTAACCACATAACATTTACATCCCTTTAAAGCTAAACCATTAAAAAAAATCTCTGCGGTTGTTATTCAATGATCTAAAACTGAGTGACAGATTTTTTGACACGGGCATGAACAAGGTTTAGTACCCACATAACAAAATGTCTATTTTTACTAATAGCAATGTTAATAATATGATAATACATCACACACAAACCTATGAGTGAATGCTAAGATTGGTTCTTTATAAAGCTGCAGTTTCAAGGACATGAAAAGTGGATGAACTGAACCCTGTAAAAAGCTTTTCTCTTGTAATACAGTAACCCACTCTGACTTTGAAGCAATTCATCATTTCTAACCTTAATATAATAACTGGGAATGTCATACAAAAATCAATACTTCACATCTTTCCTCATAACTGATTGTTTGCACTTTATGTTTTTTCCTTTCATTCACCGATTTAGCATATTTGGCTTCTTTTATTTTCCTAGTTTTTATTACACTATTAGTTTATATCAGTGCTGTTACATCAGCCTCCTAATATTTGTGCAATTACTGTGGAAATAAATCATAATGTGACCAGAGTCACCAGATGGAGTAATGCATTATGTGCTGTTAGCTGTGGCGGAGGGGTTGAACAGTCAGGCTGAGGGCAGTAAATTCTCCTGATACATTTTTCATCCTCGCTCTCCTGCAAACTGCCAGACTGCTAAAAGGAGTATTGACTTAATGCAGGAAAAAGGCTTGGTCTTGTTTTTTCTTCCCAGTCAAATCAGGAGAGTCTCTGACGGAGACTGTCGGCCTGTTACGCTTATTTACTGAACTCTAGGTATGTACACCGACATAAATATTTATAATATAGACGTCGCATCTGTCCTTCAGAGTTTTCCTCTCACCCAATTTCTCTCTTTCAACCTTGTAAGCTGCTGGTCTGTCTGCTGTAATGATGACTCCCTTCCATAACGCCAGCCGACTGCCAAAACAAGAACACGCACCTCAACCATAATGTCCCTCCTACAGCTCCTCTGAAGTGTGGAACACAAGCATCTTTCCTTATGGTAATGTTGAGCGTTGTCAGTGGTATCAAAGCCTGGCTGATCAAAGTGAATACTAAAGACATATGTTCCTGTGTCGAACAGATACAGTGTAACACGGGGGAAAAAAATCAATGGCCACAAATCAACAAACTGTCTATAATCTGACCTGAAATAAACAGAAGGATTTGTGCGATAATGACAAATATGCTCACCACAAAAGTGGAGGAAGTTAATATAGTTGTTGCTATTCATCTACTTCGATATGATTTAAAGGATTATCATCACAAATGGACACATAAAACATGTTAAAGTGGGACTCACACTAACAGGGTGGATTTGTCTAAAACAAATAAGCTTTATGTGTAAAATCCAAAGAAACTGGGAAAACACAACTCTGTATATGTTGACTGCTGCTCTGTGATGAACCCCTTGTTACTGTCTGACTTTGTGAGGGGCATATCGGACTATAGCTGCTTAGCCATGCATTATGCAAATGTAGGGCATTGTGATGTTATGTGACATCAGGGATGCAATATTTTCCTATGTAAGCTTGTTATTACTATAACAGTCTTAACCCTTTAACCTGTCTTATTGTTACACCAGCTGGAGGCCAGTAGGTAGATGATGTAATGGAAACCATAATGTCCCTAGTTCAATTCCTGCTGGGGAGCCTTGATGCATTTCAGCATCATCCTCTATTTATTTCTGGATTCCTAAGGGAATCCCAGAGAGGTGTTACAATTGCAGGTGCATTTCTGCAACTCTCAGATTAGAATTCCAGGTGTCTGCTTACGTGTGTGTGCCGACATAAGTCAAATCAAACAAGTAAATCCCATTGCACAACAGCTCAATGTATATCCACTTCTTCCTGCTTATTTCAAGAACACAGGTGAGCGAAGAGGTTATAAATTGTAAATTGCTGAGAACTAAATGTCCTCCAAACCTAAAAACATGAGAAAAATGAGGAAAAGAGAAATCAGTGTTGCTTGCATAACATTTTCCGTAGCTCCACAAGTCATCTCTTGTGATCTCCTTCATCCCTTTAAAACCTTGAGACCTGGATAGCCTCCAGGCAGAGGAGCTTCACACACTACTGACGAGAAGGTATGACAAATGCTTGACTTCAATTTTATCTTCCTATCGACAGTCAGTTTATATCTTCGCTGGGAAGAGAGAGACTGCGGCTCCCCGTCCTCTTGAGCTGTGCCAAGAAGTTGTCTGTATAGTTTGCCATCAGATCATTATCAGTTTAGCAGTAGGAGGGAGAGAGACAGTGGTCCCATCTGTTCACATTGTGGCGCTGAAGCACATGGCTTCCTCCTTGTTTTGTTTATCGGCCCTGGATGATGTGTGAGGATTAAATGTCTATATGTTCTCCCTTTATAGCTCTGCAGTTTTTTAATGTCTCCAGAGAATTTCAGTGCCATATATGCAGAAGATGTGAAAGTTTAACGCTGACACTCATAAGTGATGAAATGCTTGTGTGTGTGTGCGTGCATGTGTGAGTGCAGGTGAGTGAGTGTGCTTGTGCTTATAAGTGGTTCAAGATTTACTTAAGTTACCCAGAGGAAGCTTTCACGGGGAAAAAAACACACTTTCAAACATATACTCTGTCAAGACTTATCTTGGCCCTCCAGAGGCAGCAAGACAAAGCTCACACATTTGAAAGTCTCCAGTGGTAAATGAGGCGTTTGAAGAATTGCAAATTCGAGAGAACACACTCACACACACACACACACACACATTCACACTGACAGTTAATTTTTATAACCTTTTGCGAACAAGTAAACATTAAACCTGAGACAGACCCTGTCACTTGTGGCCCCATCCACCCCCTCAAACCATCAATTTGCTGCCTGTCTATCTCCATAAACCCATACAACAACAGTAAACACTGTAACAGTTAATAGACTAAACTAAAACACATCAGTACTCCTCAGCAGTGGAATTAAATCTCTCTTATACTTTTACTTTAGTGCCTCATAAAGTAAGGGGCAGCACAGTTCATGGTAAAATGGTTACCATCATTATTCTGACCCCTAACCCTTAGATTAACAATCGATTACAAGTAGTTTTGCTCATATAGTGAAAAGTCCACAAACTGTTGCCCGATTCTTAAGTTTCTTTCAGCTCTGTTGAGCTTTATAGCATCTTTCGGCTAATTGTTTTAGTTTTATAGCCCAAAACTTGAACGTTTTATTTTGGTCTCAGCACTTTCATTCGTGCCATTTCCAAATAAAGGCAGCTGTTTTCACTGAAAAAAAGCTCTAATAGACTACTCTATTCTGCCTGCTCACCATCAAACAACTAGAGACTTGCTACTGAAACTAGTGGAGCTAGAGGATTTGCAAATAGGTACATGGGTGCCTGCCGTAACGAATTAAAAAGTGATAAAATGTCAATGTTAGAATTACAACTTGTGTCTGCTGGTGGTAAAGGTGGTAAAAAATAATGACCTCATAAAAAGTGATAGTGATAGTAATGGACAGCACGGTGGTGCAGTGGTTAGCACTGTCAACCTCACAGAAAGGTTCCGGGTTGGAACTTGGCTTTGCTGGGGTCAGGTTCTTCTCTCCAAACAGATTCTGTATGTGAATATGTGGAATCTGTAGGTAAGGGTAGCCTTCAGGTTTTTGTTTCTACTGTGACCAATCATGTTTGAGCAGGCTTTAGTTGCCTGCAGGTAAACAGTCCGTGTGGAGATTAAAAGAGGCGGAACACACTGATCGGCCATCTGCTTTTTAATTTATCTCTTTTCATATGCAGATAGCTGTTAATAGAGATTAGCCAAAATGTCGTCTGGGCCTTAACAACTTCAAATAGTACCGTGGTTTGTGTTTTGTGTGGAGAAACGTTACATTTGTGTCATGTCAGACTGTGAAAAGTTTTTGACAAACAGAAGATATCTCCTGCCCAAATATCGGCCCATACCCTAATTTCTCATCAGACGATAGTCAATGGACATTGAGATTAGGAGTTTTAAATTGACTGAAACTATGACTGTGAGCGTGAACTGTTGTTTCTCTGTATGTTAAACCTGGTATACGCTGACGAGATGTCCAGGGTATACCCCACCTGTCATAATAATAATATAACAATAGGTGACAACTCTAATCATCCATTAGCACTGACCTGAACCTCGATGCCGTATCCCAGGTAAACAGTAATCAAGTAGTTGCACTCTACTCCAGAATCAATTTGCTGCAGGATTTCGATGTTCCCCTCAGGTTCAGTGAAATTCAGACTGCACGGCTCTGTGGAGACAGTAAAGAAGACAAGTGATTCCTTTTTTCCCAGACTACTGATCAGTCTGACTGCTCACCTGTGTCTCCGCGGCCCTGTAACCCTCTAACTATCCCTGCAGATTTCCTCTGCGACACTACTCATCTGAGCCCTCAGCCCTCTGCGGGCATTGGAAAGGACGGGCAGGACACATCAGGGAAAATCAGATTGTTTTTGACACATGAGCAACTCTGTTATCCCTGGTGGAGAGAAGAATGGCTGTGCGCAGCATGTAAAATGAACAGCAGTGACGCTGATGACCTGATGCTTAATTTCCCTGTCCTCTGGAAAGGATGTGTTAAATCTTTGGGGGAAGGAACACTCCGTTTTGAATTTACAATGATGGAAAAAGTAATTTCATTGCTGCTGTTGTTCATTTTAAAGTCACTGGAACGTTTTGAAAGTCAGAGAAAACATGAGCGTGTGCATACCTGATGTTTGTGTGATGGTGGTGGTTGTGATGATGGTTGTAGACATGGTGGTGGTACCCTCTACTTGGGAAACCTCAGTTAGCTTGGTTAGAGGATGATCAGAGCTGCTTTTGTGTTTTAGTGGCGTCTCCCTCGTTTCACCTTTCTCCATCCCAGTTGACAAGGATGCAAGGGTGGCGCCTTCAGGGAAAGCGCTACGACTTTGGGGCGGGTTTCTCTGCAAGGTTGAGGTGGCAACTGGGTCGTTTTTGCCACCTGAACCTCTATTATTCTGTGTCACTTGAGTGGTGAGGGAGTCTGTTGTCGGCTCTGCCATTTCTACCCCGCTGGGCTTCTCCTTAGGGAGAGACATTGGCGGCCTTGGCGGCGCGGGAGAAAATGTGGTCAGTGAGGTTGTGGCAGCCGGAGTGGCAGTGGTGGCGATGTCTGAGAAGGCAGGGGCATCCTCGTGGGGCACCACTTGAGTGGCAGCATCTCCAAGGTCCAAGGCAGACACGGAGCCTGGCATGGTGGGATACCCAGCCACAGAACCGTCCCTCCTGAAGAAATGCTGGTCCCCCTGGAAGTCCCTTGTAAGCAGATGCTCGTGAAGCAGCATTCCCTTGAGGACGGGCCGGTGGTTGGGGATGTTCATCGGTGAGACGGTGGTAACCAAGTGGACTTCGCTCTCTGTGTCCTGTGTTGGCGAGTGTCTGAAGTAGTCACTGCCTGGTGTTCTCGTACTGACATCTCTGCTTTCATTTGGCCCTGGGAGAAAAAGGAACAAAGATAATGTGGTTGTGTTGAACACATTTTTACAGTCAAGTGAACTGCGGAAGCAACATACAGTGCACAGGAGCAGCAGGACTTTATGAGAACGATCGAACTATAATCCACTAAATCGATGCCTAATGAGCTGAGCAACAGTTCTTCTGTGTTATTCGTCCACATGTATCCTGTTGCCATTTTAATCAGTTCTTAATGCATGTATGTATATGTGCAGCTTTGGACACAGTTTGATACTCTGTTAATAAAACTTAAACTAGTCTACTGAGTTGACATACTGATCATAGTATACATCTACTGTGAAGTATTAAAATCATGATATCAAGTTTCCCTTTAGTACTTGACACCCTATACTGCACATTTCATTAAACACCAGAAAGGACATTCATGTAGAGGTCCTGCATATTTCTACTGTCGGTGTCAGAAGCGGCTTGCAAAGAGCCGGGTTATTATCAAAGATGAATTCCACAATCACAACCCGCAGGCAGTGAAATCTCAGAGCCGAGAAACACTGAGATATAGTCTCGTTACTTAAAGGTAAAAGTCCCATCTTTTTCCAAGTCTCCCTCTATAGGCTGCTATTCTTATTCTCTCTTTTTTTTTTCAAACTCACTAAGACAAACACCTTTTTCAAACACAGTGCAAGCATTGTTAAAAATTCCACAGGAGAAGAACTCAACCACGGAATTTTTACTTGACAATTTAAACTGCAAAACATCCATATATCCAAGCAAAGGTGATAATTGCACCAGTGTAATGACTCAACTTAACAAATAAACAACAGTAGAAATGTGTGTGTATGAATAGAAATCATGTTCGACCAGACGTCGAACCAGAGGTAATGTGTCTGAATTGAAATTGCACAAAATAATTTCTTTTTTTGCACAAAAATCAAACAGTTTACATCATAGATAAGTGATATATTAGTGCATAAGTCACAGAAAGCAGCACAAACCATATTTTTGCATTGTAGACTGAAAAGATTAAAGCTGCACATGTTCGTTAAGCCTGTCTGTGTGACATGTGTCTTATCAGCCTCTAGCATTGTACGGTAAAGGAGACGGCCATCCGTTTGAATGAGGAAGGGGGAGAGGAAAGAGCAGAGGATTCCCCAACTAGAAAGTGACTAGATAAATATAACTCGAGGTACAGTACAGCCTAATATAAAATTCACTGTGAACTCAAATCTATGTCATTGCAAACATCAGCATATTTTTTTACAGCTCTAGAAGGACAAACTGTCAGTTTCAGAGTTTTCTACCATTTTCACCCCATTCTCTGTTGCCTTCACATCAGTTGTTTGGGGAATATTCAATGAGTTTATTTTGTGTAAAATTTTCCAAACAATTCAAAGATGAACTTCTTCATGTGTCCTTGGTGACTTTGATCCTGAAATGATAAAATGTTGTCCAGCTGGTTGCCAGTTAAATTTTTTGCCTCATTTATTGAACCGTTGGGGACTTTGTGAGGTTGTGAAATTCTCTCGTTCTGACTTGCTGTTGTAAAGTGTGAGCTGGGATTTGATTCTACCTTGTTAAGAAAAAGGTGAAAATACAGCAGATTTCTCAGGGTACTGCCGGACAAAATAATAATGAAACATCGATGGCAATCACCGTCATATTAGGACGATGACGGCTGACTCAAAATACAACGGCTGACTGTAAATCTTTCCCTTCATTAATGTAATATCCATCCCTCTGTTTTTGTGAAAATAAATTTGCTTTATAGTGAGAAACCTCAAGGATGGCCATTAGGAGATAATCCCTAAATATATCTCTGCTAAAACCCCACTCACTTAGATGTGGCACAGCTAAAATTCTAATGTTGTGCTATGGATTCCTAGAGGTTTAAGGCAACAGCTCCATGATTGTTATTGGGGATAATATTTTTATTTTGTAGGCAGACACGACATCTTTTATCTATGTTATGTTCCATCTTCATTTACTCTGAAGCTGTAACATCTATACCAATGCTCACATCTTTGCAGACATTTTATTTCAGTGTTCCCTTCATATATATCGAGATCATTAATATCAACCCTGCAGAGGTATACTCCCTTCATTTTTGAGCAGGGGAATGCAAAAAGCACCTGGATACTGCATGGCTAACAGTAGCTTCAAGATGGAAATTTTAATCTAAAATAATTTTACATGTTCTGAAGTACGACATAAAACGTGTCTGCGAAAAATACTGAAAAGACCAAGGGAGTTCATATAATCCTCTTATGCGTCAACGTACATACAGCGTGTCTACATGAAACAATGCTGTCTGCTTTGACACCTTAATTAGCTTGCATTCTGGGTGACGGTTTGTCTTAATGAGGCAGAGCGGCTGCCAGCACACTTTTCATGCTTGTAGATGAAAGGATGTTGTTGACACAGGCAGCAAATGACTGAGATATCATCACGGTGAGTGTTTCTATTAGCTACAGCGCTCCATGCAGATGAATGAGCCTCAGATGGAGGTCAAAACAGATGTAAGATTCATTTTAAATGGGCTTCAGAGGGAGGTAAATACAATGTTAAAGGTCAGGAATGAAAAATACAATCGTCACACCTGAAGCAGTTCTTAAATGCTTTTTTGGGGCAAATTTATTTGACCTTTTCTTATCCGTGTTTGTGCCTTGAAATTACTTATCGTCTCAGAACCGTAGCATACAACTGGTTGATGGTTCATGGTGTGCAACTATTTATGATTACATTTTAAAGCTTGTGCAGTCTATAATAGACTAGTTTACTAATTCTGCGTGTGAAAATGCAGAATCTGTAGGTGCTAGACTAGATTTTACAGCTGGAAGATTTACATTTCTGCGTCAGCTATCGGCTTTTTCGTTTACCTGCATTCATTTGCAGAAAGCTGTTAATAGAGATAAGCCAAAATGTTGTCTAGACCTAAAACACCTACGCCTATTGTTGTTTGTGTTTTGTTTGGAGAAACCTTTGACTCATGATAAAAGAAACTAGTCACACTGTAAACAGTGTGTGGCAAACAAGACAGTCTTGGCCTGGATATCTACTGTCTACATCAGAAGCCCTAAGTATTGGCTGTTGCCCCCAGAGGCTAATTCCTTGTCAATAGCCGATGGGATTGACAAGTGACCAGCTAATTGTGGCTGCACTGATTAAAAGTGTAGTTGTTTTTCTAGCTTGGGCTAAAGTTCAAACATTGGAATGCTATAGCAGGAGGCATATACTTAGGTCTTAAATGAGAAATATTAGTGGTGCCACAGGAGAAGCTGCTTTCCTCATAAAACTTTGAAAGCAATTGCGAGCCATTGTAACATTTTTGCTGATAGTAGTTTTACTAACATCCAGCTTGCTAATAAAAGTTTGATCAGCCTATTCAAGAGGAAGAGTAAACCATTTTGCTACAAAGCCTCTCCCGGGCTGACAGAATTGACACATGGTTTTACATTTTACTTGAGGCCGCGACAACCCCACATTTATCTCTCGTGGCGACAGAGGCAATTCAAAGACCTTTTGATGTTCTAAGATGGAGGAGAAACATTTCCTTGTAGCCTTATTCTGTCACAACAAGAGCAGCCAAAGCTGTGCTATAAAGGCAAGCTAAGCATATTTGACATATCTCACTACCAGAGAGAATAAAGTGTGTAAACTGAGGTCTGCATAAATGATTTAAGAATATAAGGCTGCCCTACCCCTCATGACTGGAAAGTAAAGAGGGATATCAAACATATACACACTACAGTAAAACTGGGGGATTATCATTTGGCCAAGATCATAGTTCATATTTTCTTATCTTTGTCACCCTCTTTGTCTTAATTTGTGTTGGTCAGCTTTTGAACATCCATGCTGCCCCTCAGTCAGAATATTGAGTGAAAGTGCAAAGTGAGAGAGAAGAACTGGGTTAAACCTGAGTTTCTCATACGCCGATCAATACAGGATCAATGTGTACAGGTTGGAGACCTCACTGTGGTGATTACAGATGAGCATGTTCTACTGCTGCCATGCACTATTCTTATGTCTGGAACTTAATTGAAGGTTTACAGTTGTAGTTTCAGAGAATGGAGCTAAAAAAAAATGTATTTAAATGTGATTGATATTGAATATAAGTGTAATGTTAACCAATAAATACAAAAAAGGAAATAATAAAAATAAACAAGTGCGGTTTCTTATGAGTCACAGTCATTGGTTGCAAATGTGACATAACATCCTTTCTGTGACTCACTCAACATCTGTGTAAATTGTGTAAAACGCTAACAAATTAAATGAGGATTCAGATGTGAGACTCTATTTATACAGACATAAGCTCAGTGAAATCTTTAAAATGCATCAGAGCTAGGAAAATGTCATACAACAATTTATAATAATATAATTTAATTTCAAAGCCTAGTACTGATTCCATACATTTGCAGAGCATGTGAGAGCTAATAGATGATGTTGCTATATCTTTATAAAACATGGTTTCTAGCCAGAGGCTGCAGCAGGGGAATTTGATTGACGCCGATGCAACACCCTACAGGATCCTAAACATGGCAGACAATTAGACAGATGATTAGGTTATCATTGTTCAGGTATTGAGAATATGTCATTTAAAAATGAAAAATGACAACATAGCTTTTAAATGGAAATATGTTTGCCAGTATGTCAGATTCGATTGTTTTGCTCTTCATAAATAAATTGCTTCTTTTAAATATGACCTCCATCAAATTGATACTGTTTCTATAATGAGGGTTTAACTACACTATCTAAAAAAATTCTAAGTTTTGTCCATCCTTGAATTATTGTCAAGTTCAGAAAGTGTTGTAAACACAGGTTCTGTTCTGACCTGTTTCCAGACATAGTTGGAAAATCACACCCTACAGGCAGCCAATTTAAATCTATTGTGCTTGAAGGACCTCAGTCAGGTATGGATGTGCTGTAATATGCTTTCATAACCAGTGTACTGTCACAACAAAGTGTTCTTGATGTGCTCTGTCAAGTTCACACAATAGGTGTCATGCTATCATATGAACTCCTCAA